AAATTTATTCAATCCCATAAATCAAGCCAATCACCCCTTTAATGTATTGGTCCGTTGGAGCCTTTTTTGGCACTATAAAAAGGGGTGTTTGGGTCTGCTTTTCTCATAAATTCACTTCACTTTATTCATATTATCATTGCATCCAAACAACATTATTTTTCATAGCTTTCTAGAGCCAATTTGTGAAGTTTGAGTTGTTCTTGAGCGTATATAGTTTACTCAACATCTACTCTTAAAGAGAGTCTTCTTCTTGAGTGTTCTTAGTGTTGTAAACACGTTTAGGGAAGCTTGTTTCCCTTGGTTGTACGAAGGAAAGGTATTTTCCTTCGGGTTGAAGTCTTGGAGTGCGGTATCTCCGAGCAAGTGTATTGAGGCTCGTGGGACTCGAGTTCTCAGGTTGTAACGGTTTGTTAAGCACCCGTAAGCTTAACGGAAGTAGTGTAGCTCGAGAGAGTCTCTCGGGAGGCTGGATTAGCCACAAGTTGTGGTGAACCAGGGTAAATCTTGGTGTGCTCCCTTTACTCCTTTTTATTCCGCTCTTTACTTTATCCCTGCGATTTTATTCCGCGAAAATTTATAAACATTCTCGTGCCTCACTATTCACCCCCCCCCTATAGTGAAGGGCACTTATTCTAACAATAATGTTTTAAAGGCTTCCACAATGTTTGTTTTATTTACTCAGATTAACTTATATTTTGTTTTAAAATAAATACGTATGAATGTTTTATTTTGAAATGTTTTTAAAATATTATGCATGTGAATATCAAATTAAAAGCAACCCGATTCACTAACTGTAACGCCCCAAAACATAGTCTAAAAGTTATTCTATTATAAAAGTATTTTTAGAAACAATATTTTGACTCAACAAAGCATTATTTCTATGTTTGACCAAAAATGAAGGAATTTTTAGAGTCAATAATTTTTGTTAAGATTGACTTTTATGGATAGGTCTTGAAGAGACGAAACCAACGGTATATTTTATGAATAAATCTGATGTACAGAAGTTCAGTTATGACATTTTAAATATGTAATTTGTATAAAAATGAGAAAAAAGTCAAAGATGCGAACTTTTGTAAAATGATGTATTGAAATAAGTATTTATATTTAATAATATTGATTGAATATGAGACTAATTTTAATTACATATCAATTAATTCAATTTTGACTCTGTCAAAGTCAACACCCAAAAATATGTTGTCAGAAAAAGTATTTCAAATAAATATAAAAATTATATCATTAAATAGAGTTTGACTGTCTCATCGCAAAGGTGTAAACGGATTTCAATTTGGATAAAGTTGGACCAAAAAGTGTACCCCAACTGAAGTAATTTAATCAAACTAAACTGGAAGGAATTAAATAGCAGCCGCCCCTTCCACTCACGGCAATCAAACGTAGGAACAAGGCTTCAAACTTCAAACGTAACTCCCTCTCCCTGGCCTATATATAGAGCCATACATTCTTCATAATTTTCACACCAAAATTATCCCATTAGTTAGAGGAGAGTTTAGAGAGTCGAGAGAAGCTGTCCGGAGAGCTTCCCGTCACCGGAGCAAGCGGTGGTGTTCACCGGAAGTTTCGCCGTTTTTCCGCCGGAATCATCGTTTCACTTCAATGCAAGCCCGTAGATATATCTAGTGACTAGAATGTTCGTATAGATCGTTTCTACGTTCATAAATGGTCGTTTGGTTGAGTTTTGTGTTTGACATATGTGAAGAACCAAGAATCATAAACCTTGAGTTTGTTGTTAAAACTTCGAATTGATGCCTCTAAAATGATCTACGAACCTTGGAGAACATTTCTATATAGTTTAATTGAAGTTTAGTGACCAAAAATGGAACTTGAGAAAAATGGGTTAGAGGTTGAAGATGATGAATAGTAACCCCTTCATCTTCCTGCACTTTCCAACGGAACGGACGACCGTTCAAACCCAACGGTCGACCGTTACGAACATTTTTAAGTCCAAAAATGCTATTTTTGAAGCTATAAAAGCCTAATTTTTTTTATACCAATCAATTATGATCAATATAAAAATAATTGTTAAAAAGAAAAATGATGTTTTAACAAATAAAATTTAATGTGATAAAATAAAAATGATGTTTTGAAAAATAAAATTTTATGTGATGTATGACGGTAAGCTAAGGTGTTAACACTCGATGCTAGACCGCTATTTGTTATTGGATATTGTTAAAATTATTATTGGTGTTGTTTATAATTAGACTTTGATGAATATTCTTATTAAAATAATAATTATGAATGATTAAATCATGATTAAAAATGAATATATTGATAATTATGAAATGATGTGTATTGTTAAGAGTATCTAGAAGAACTCTAAGATATACCCATTTAAATAATTTATATTAAGGTTATCTACAAGACCTCTAGAATAGATCTCAGATTAGAAGGGATTGTGAGAATCTGAATATTCGGTGATTTGATAAAAAAAATGT